CCACAGGTGGCTTCCGTGGAGACAGAGCCTTCGCCTCGGCAGAAGTCGAGGCTGATTGGGACGAGCAGAACGTGGACAGAGCCTCGGAAGAAGCCGGACCTCTCCCCTACTGCTCAGTCGACGTACCGATGGACGAAGAAAATCCTCGCGAAAGTGTCAACGCCGAAACCTACTACCACTTCGCCGACAACGGTTACGTTACACCTGCTGAAGTCAACACCAACGAAGCAGAACGCATAGGGCCCAACTTCGCACCTGATCCAGAAGCTGGAGACGAAGCAGTCTATCCCGAGGACACCACACTTCCCCGCTACACACAGAGTGGACTCCAGATACTCGGGCTCGTCACCGCGGTCCACGGCGCCGCCATTCCTAAGGAGCCTGCGACGGTTCAGCAGGCTCTGGGGGGGGAGCACAGGGAAAAATGGCGCGAAGCCATGGACAAGGAGCTGAAAGCACTGGAGGAACGCAACACCTGGAAAATCGTTCCTATCGGTGTAGCACGAAACAAGACCATCCTCACCGGGAAATGGGTCTTCCTTGTGAAAACGAAAGCAGATGGCACCATCGAGAAGTTCAAAGCACGATGGGTCGTGCGCGGCTTCGACCAAGAACACGGACGAGACTTCACCGAGACCTTCGCACCGGTCAGCCGACACACCTCACTTCGAATCCTCCTCGCGATCGCCGCCATGAAGAAAAGGAAGCTGCGGCAAATCGATGTCGCAAATGCCTTCCTCTACGCACCTGTCGACGCCGAAATCTTCGTCGAACTACCACACGGAACCAACAGAGACCCCAACCACGTCTGCCAACTGCTCAAATCACTCTACGGCATCAAACAAGCCCCACGACTGTGGCAACAGTACCTGCACGCCCGACTCGTTCGCATCGGCTTCAAGCAGCTACCGCACGATCAGGGAATGTATCGGCTCACGAAGGGTACAGACTACATCCTCTTAATCATTTACGTAGACGATTTACTCTACATCGGCTCAACCGACAACGTCACCTCTTGGTTCGAAGGGGAACTGCAGCAGGACCTCACTCTCACAGTCTCATCTACCGTCACACAGTACCTCGGCCTCAACATCCGGGAAGAACAAGATGCGATCTACCTCAGCGCCGCAAAATACGCCGACACCATCGCCAAGCGCTTCGCACTCACACCGACCGCCATCTCTACACCATACCGCTACACGACAGGAAACAACACGGGAAGCTCCGCTCTACTCAAGCCCGCCGGCATACGCGACTACCAGAGAAAGCTAGGCTGCCTTCTCTTCGCAGCCGTCACCTGCCGTCCTGACCTATCGTACTCTGCAAGCCAGCTCGCCACCTACCTCAAGAAACCTGAAGCAGAGCATTTAGCGGAACTCGATCGTGCCCTTAACTACCTCGTCAGCACCCCGACGATCGGCCTAACTTACTACAAGAACGCAACTGCACCGACTAAGTTAATCGGCTACGTTGACGCCGATCATGCTGGTGACTCAGACAACAGACGCTCGCGCACCGGCTACATCTATCGCCTTGAACCTATCGGTCCCATCTCTTGGCAATCGAGCAAGCAGGAACTAATCGCCCTCTCATCAGCTGAAGCAGAATATATCGCACTCTGCTCAGCCACCAAGGAAGGACTTTACCTTCGCGAACTGCTGGAAGAAGCAAAGTTGGCTGAGTTACCCAGCTTCACCCTGTTCTGCGACAACCAGTCGGCAATTCGCATCGCCAACAAGAACGGCTTCGCGAACAGGACGAAACACATCGCCCTGCGCTACTTCTTCGTGAAGGACGAGATCGAGAAGGGGAGACTCGAACTGTCATACTGTCCCACGTCCGAGATGGCAGCCGACTATTTGACAAAAAAGCTCGGGAAGCAGAAATTCGAGTATTGTATGTTGCTGACTGGACAAGGCCACGTCATCAGGAGCGACACTCCAGAAGCGAAAGGGAGTGTTGGAAACAAAGAACCTTAAACGCCTCTGTCGTGTCGAAACACCGCACCAGAAGCGAAGTAAACCATATCGAAGCACCAGCGAGTCAACCCTCGGAGGTTGAGAGGTTGCTGGAGGTTACGCAAAAGTCAAAGGTCAGCGACCTTTGACCCGACAAGTACAGCGCGACAGCAAGGACACACAACTGACTCGCTACAGAGCAGTTGCCCGAGTCGTCACTGTATCGAACCGCAACAGCAAACAGCAAAAGTAGTTACAACTGTATCCTTTCATATTCATTGTAATCTTTTATATATTCTTGTACCTTCTTGTTTTAATCAACTTACTTTGCCCTCACATACCAGCGCAAGGTGGTTCACAAGTACTTCATTAAAACGCTTCCGCTATTACATAGTTTCCACCAGAGTTTACCCCTGCAAAGATCCTAAGGGCTTTTCTCAGCCCATCAGGTACTACACAGCTTCATTTACATGAATATGTATGGTGCTGAGCACAAAACAGGTGGTGAAAAAAATCAAGTGATGGAACTCGCCACGGTGAGAACGATTCTGAGGCGCGGCTCAAGGTGGTCGATTAGCAGACAAGATATGCTGCAGGTACGTGCTGTTCGACATGGCCTAGAACTTGGACATGGCAGTGGATCACTATCTCCACTGAAACCCTGATTCGATTTAGGGATTGCAACACTTACGTCAGAAGGCAAGAGGAGGGAGAACGAAGCATTGCTTGGAAAGTGGAAGTCAGCAGAACCGCAAGATTACTCACTACACCGTTTGAGAGACTGTTATGACCACATTGCATCTCATTCGATTCTGATTTGCCAGGTAAAAGCAGCTCAGTGGAAAGCTGAAATAGTTGGCCAGGGCAATCGCCAGGTGGGGTAGGCCAGTGAGCGAGAATCAGGGTGTAATCATGCTTGGTCGGCAGAGGCAGATTAGCGCGACGAGGGCCTGAGCATGGTTACGTTATTCAACTTTTCGCTAGAGATTTGGGACTTGTGACGGCACACATTCGGGCATAGAGGGCCTCGCTATAACAGGAAACGTTGGTGATGTCAGGGCAATTAAGCAACTGTAACTCCTTTCTGAGAGAATGTCTTACGCACATGTTTGCACAAACAGATTCATAAGAAACAAGACACAAAAAAACTCATTCTGCATTTTTAAATGGGCGGAACTTGTCTAGAACAATTGAAGGCCAACACTACGTTAGCTGAACCAGGACTTGGCGAGGTTCTTAGTGATAGCACAATCACTAGATAGATTATGAAATGGTTGAAGGAGTGTACACATTCTGGTTGTGGTTATGCTTTTGGGGTGCATGCCGGATTTGTGGCTCTCGATGTCATCCAACCAACAAGGATGCGCCGCACGAGCGAGCAACGGCACGCCACCTTAGCACCTTCTGCCCGTTGCCAATTGGCTCTTCCTTGATCGCGCGCCGCAATGTCACTGGCTTCCAGCTTTCCACCGAGGTGAAGCACCTTCCACCTGGACGTGAGCCACGTCATCATCGTCGGCCTACTTGTTTCGCGTCGGAATGAAATGTGCTGCGCTCAAAGCAGGCCACTTGTTGGGGCATTTAGTGTGCAGACTTCTGAAAATGGGTGTAGAAGGCCTACAGTTTTATGATGGGCCAAAGCCTTTAAACGTAGTTAATTTCTGAGATCGTGACTTCATCTCGAGTCACGTGTTCGAGGGGCTTTATCGTCTACTAACCCTATATAGGAATGGGTAGTTCAGTGTGTTTTATGAACGGTCCCTTCTGGCATCATCAATGGCTGACGCGGATCTCCTCACAGATCACACAAACGAACCGCCACGGCTGTCGAATGGGAATTCGGTGGGTGGGTGACCTTACGCAAGCAAAGAACCACCTCCCTTCTCTTTCCTATGTGCCTTCCCTCGTATCTTGCTTCGACGTGGCTCTCGGCTTGCGAGTTCCCTCGTGAAAATAGTATTCCAGGCAAGCCATGTCCATGCCCCCGTAGGAGCAAACTTCTGCTTCAATTCTCCTCATTGGGAATGCCCATTTGAATCTCCAGCCACTGTTTTCGTCTTCTGATGAGATTAGTAGATGAGTTTCGAACGGTGTGCATTTAGCCAACGAGAAAGGTATCGTACCATATCATAGTACGGTCAGCGTTCAGTCAGTAGTAGTTCACATTCGTGGTCCATGAGTGGCACGTTCTGTCTGTCCTTGGAGCTATTCCGCCCAGGGTATTCTGATCTCGCTGTCACTCGGTCGTTCGCCTCCTCGTCAGACGCAACGCAACTGGCCTTTTTTTAACCTTCACAGGGTGATAGAAATCATTTGAAGACGCGCTAGCCGTTGATCTTCGCCGCTCATTGATCTTACCACGCCTACACGTACTACTTCGCGAGGAACATATCAGTGTAGCGAGTAAGAGTAAAACGTTCACACAGGGTTACCACCATGTCGCTGACTCGTCAGATTTCCGTCAGTTGCGCGACATCCACAGCCTGCCAGCCCTCTCCGTCCAGGTTTCCTAGCAGGAAAGCCATCGGACACGTCAGCGCCGCCCGCGTCTCCGCTTCTTACGGCGTCTTGTTTCCTTCTGGGCGACAAAACCAAAGGCGACGACAAGCGACGTCGCTCACATCGGCATCTCTCGCATCAGGACCCCGTGCGATAGGATCCGAGTCGCTTTGTTGCGTGAGTTTAGAGTTGACCATTTCGTCCTCTCCCTTGCTCTCGCGAACCACTCAACGCATTCGCGCCCCCGGAAGAAGCCGTGGTATCGGACCTGTAACATTTCGCGGGCTCGATGGCGAACAATCTTGTTCGGGTTACCATAGCAGATCCCTCTTTCGTCGCCCACACCATCCGTTATCGGGTTTCCAACAACCTGCGTGTAGGCGCGGAGTCACTGTCGCAACAATGGCAACCGCTGATGCAGGATTAGGTTCGGGACTGCGTCCGGGTTTGGGAGGAACGGGATTGGAGCTGGCGGTAGGTTCGGAGGGGCAGGGGTGGCGGCGATCGGTGGCTGTAATGGAGGCGGTGCGGCAACTGGAAGCCATGATGCGTGAACCGGCGGCCGTTCTCGATAGTATGAAGGTACGTGACAGTACGCAGGTGATAATGGTGGTGGGTGTATGTGATGATAACGTACCCGCAAACTTCCGCCTTCCACATCCCGTGTCCCGGGTCCCTCGTCCCTCCTTTCCTGCCCCCGTCCTTCGCACTCGCTAACAGGGTAAGCCCTATATCGAGGATGGCGAGATCCTTAACCCCTGTTTCATCTGGGTCTCTGCTTTTGAGTCGACTTAAAAGCGAGAACTTCATTTCCTGATTCAACCGGTTTCTTGCCGTCCCATCCTCTCGCGTCCCCAGTCCCTTCTCCGTCTCTTCTTCAAGATTCTCGTCTGTTTCATTTGGTCGCCCTCCCTCCCCTCCATCTCGCCTCCCCCATCTCTTCCGCATGTCTTCCCCTTCCCCCGCCTTCCCCCCCCCCCTCCCCCCCCCCCCCCCCCCCCCCCCCCCCACCCCCACCTCTCCCCTCTCCCCCCCACACCGTTTCCCTCCCTCCTGGTAAAAGGACAAGCTATCTTTAGAGGATCTCGAGATTCTCATCGCCTACTTCGCCCAACAGGGTCGCGACATGTGGCAGGCCCTCGAGGTCTACGATTGGATGGTCCGCGGGAACCGCGTGGAGCGCCGAACGCGGCGCCTCATCCACGTCATCATGGACCAGCGCCTCGGGCAGCTGCTACAGGAAGGCTGCCCGACGGAAAAAGTTGTGCGGCTGGTGGGCAGGATGGTGGATCTCGGGCTGCCCCCGGATTTCCCGCTGAAAAGATTGGTGGGGGAGGAGCTGTGGGATAGAGGGGCGGTGGCGGAAGTTGTAAAGCTTCTGAGAATGTTCCGGGACGAGGAGGAAAGTGCGCGGAAGGAGCAGGGGGTGGTGGCTGGAGTGAGAGTTGTGGCTTGGAATGAGGAGGAGGATGAAGAAGAGGGAGGGGAAGAGGAAGATGAGGAGGGAGAGGAATGGGAGGAAAGTGAGGAGGGGAGTGTGTGGCGTGGGTTAAGTGAGAGTGAGGATGAGGTGGAGATTCGTAGTGGTGGGCAGAAAGATGGGCAGAAAGATGGGCAGAAAGATGGGCAGAAAGATGGGGAGGCGAGGCCATCTGACTGCGCTACTGAAGGTAACACATCTCCATTTCTCCCGCCCTCCCGCCCGCCTCCCCCTCTCTCACCACCTTTCCCCTATTCACCGCCTCTTCTTCTCTCACTCCCAACCCTTCCCCCCGCCACCCCCCCTCCCCCCTCGTCCCCACCCCCGCCCCCACCTCTGCCCCCACCCTGTCCTCCTCTTTTCTCCTCACCGCCTTCCTTCCTCGCTGCTTTCCCCTTCCATCAGTCTCTCGCTTGCTCCTGCTGTCATTTTATTTCCAGGCCTCCTTAGATATGCTGGTGCTGCTTCCCGCACCCTTCCCTCCCACACCTTCCACCTCTCTACACCTTCTACGTTATGTTACCATGGACTTTCGACCCTTCCTCCCTCATGCCCCTCCCCCCCACCCCTCTCTCTCTTCCAGCCTTGCAGCATGCGATTCTTGAGGAAATAAAAAAAAAAACCCTCCCTCCCTCCCTCCCTCCCTCCCTCCCTCCCTCCCTCCCTCCCTCCCTCCCTCACTCCAGCCCCCCAGCATGCGAGTGCCCCGTATAGCGCGCGGCAGGAGATTCAGGAGCGGCTGAAGCTGCAGCTGCTCGTGCGAGCGAGCGGCCGTGGGACCGCCGGGAGCAGCCATCGCAGCACCAATGGCATTCAGAGCAGCAGCAGCAACAGCAGCAGCTGCGTCAGCCGTGGGACCGCCGGGAGCATCAGTTGCAGCAGCGGCGGCAGCAGCAGCAGCAGCAGCGGTGGTGGTAGCAGCGAGGAGATTGTGATACAGAGAATACCGGGTCCAGGGGTGGGCATGGGAGCAGCAGAGTCAAGGAGGCAAGATAATCGATTGCCAGGAGTGGAAAGGAGTGGGGTGCGGTCCGAACAACAACAGAGCAGCAGAGAAGCTAGCACAGGCGGGGTAATTGAGGCGAAAAGAGGGCAGGATCAAGAGGGGAGGCAGGCAGGCATAGAGTCAAAGTCAAGAGAGGTAGAAGCAGACAGGGAGGGGGATGGAGCAGTGGTGGTCCGAGAAGCAGGGGCAGCAGCAGAGGCAGTAGCAGAAGCGGTGGGGGATGAAGAGGCGATGAGAGCAGCAGAGGAGAGGGAGGATCTAGTGGGGCTGCTGCTGCTGCGAGCTGTCAGCGCGGGGCAGTACCGGCAGGTGCTGCCGCTGCCGCGCATGCTGCGAGAAGCCGGGGTGGAGGTGGGCGTGGCGGGGTTCAGTGCGGTGCTGGCCAGTGCGGTGAAGGAGCAGGAGAAGCTGAGCGTGGCGCGGAGGGAGCTGAGGGACCTGCAGCAGATGGGCTTGGTGGGGCAGTTGTCGCCTCTGGACGGGTTGTTGCTAGAGGTGAGCACATTATACAGTCGTTCAGAGCATGCTGTGAGGGCATTGAGGAATCTATGCACGTGAATAGTGAGTGGTGAGGGAGTTGAGGGACCTGCAGCAGATGGGCGTGGTGGGGCAGCTGTCGCCTCTGGACTGGCTGTTGCTGGAGGGGGTGACGCTTTACGAGCACTATTATTCTCTCACTGCCTTCCTCTCAACCCGCTCTTTTCGCTCTTCCTCTGTGCCGCACACGCTCAGCTCATTTCCACTCTGGGCAGCGTTGCAGCATGAAGCAACATCTGAGGCGCTTTAAGAGACACTTGTATCCTCTCACTGCCCTCCTTCACTCCTCCCCTTATCCCTGTCCCTTGCAACCATGCAGGTCGACGGAGCAGCAGGTTTGCAGGCGCGTCTTAATGCAACACTCTTAACGCAACAGTCTCAGCACCCTGCTCTCAATGTCTCCTCTCATTCCACCCTTTATCCCTGCCACTTGCACGCACAGGTCCATGGGGCAACTCTGAGGCACGAGGCAGAGCAAGTGGTGCAATGGTGTGCAGAGGAGTGCGAGGGCGACCTGCAGAGGCTTAGGGCGGCGGTTGGGGAGCGAGAGAGACAGCGGGAAAAGCGGCTAGCAGAGCTCAGGGAGGGGGGCAGGGGGGGATACGAGGTGAAGGGGCGAGAGGCGCAGCTTTACCAGCAAGTAGCAGAAGATGGGGAGGGAAGACTAATCTTGAGGCGAGATGCACAGATTACTGGTCTGTCACGAGGGCTCTTAAGTGGGGGAAGCATGCGGGAAGAAGAAGAGGAGGGATACAGAATAGGCTCACAGGAGCGTGATGAGTCTTGGTTGCTGCTGGACCTGCAAAGAAACAGAAGAGGAGAGGTGGAGTGGGGGGGTGAATCGGATGTGCAGCGAGGGACACAGAGGTTAGCGAAGGGGAGGGAGGGGGAGGGGGAGAGGGAACAGCAGTTGCTACTTTCAGGGGAACTTTCACCAGCACAGGCGGACGATGAAGCAGAGGCAGAGTCAGTTGTACAGTCGAGGCGGCAGGAGGAGGAAGGGAAAAGGAGGGAGATGGAAAGACTAGAGGAGAGAGAGATGGTCAGCGGAAGGGGGAGGATTCTTGAAGCGAGTCAACACGCTTCTCGGGGGGAGCTAGAGCGATCGAGTCGGGTACAACGGTCAGGAGAGGAGAGGGAGGGGGAAATTCAGAGACTAGAGGAGGAACGGGAGAGGGAGAGGAGCAGGGAAATTCAGAGGCTAGAGCGGGAGAGGGAAAGAGACCTACATGTGCTGCAAGCGGGGGAGGTGGCAGCAGCGCGGGCGCAGGCGGCCATGCATGGAAAGCTAGTGACGCTCTGGTTCAACGCGGGGCACTCCGAGCAGGCAGAGCGCGCTCTGTGGGGCGTGGTGGAACAAGGTGGACCTATTTCTGGCGATCTGGCTGCCAGTGTGGCGGGGCTGTACGCTTACTGGGGCGACCAACCCTCACTTCACAGGTAGGTGTGCTTGTTTGGAACTGGGTAGGGCAGAGCGGGCGCTGTGGGGGGTGGTAGAGCAAGGGGGAAGCGTGTCTGGCGACCTGGCAGCAAGTGTGGCGGGGCTGTATTGTATGTCTACTGGGGAGACCACACAGGGCTAAGCAGGTGAGGGAGGTGGGGGGTGGTGGTGTGGGGGCGTGGCGGAGCAGGGAGGAAGCGTGTCTGGCGATTTGGCAGCGAGTGTGGCGGGGTTGTATGCCTACTGGGGCGACCAACCCTCGCTCCACAGGTAAGGGTGGGGACGTGGGAGCAGCGGGCCACTGAGAGGGCGGAGCAGGCGCTGTGGGGCGTGGTACAGCAGGGGGCGCCTGTGCCTGGGGACCTGGCGGCTAGTGTTGCGGGGCTATATGCCTACTGGGGAGACTACACGGCGCTGAACAGGTGGGTGTGCTGGTCAGGCAGTGGGAGGGCAGGGAGGGCAGAGCGTGCGCTGTGGGGCGGGGCGTGGTACAACAGGGGGCTCCTGTGCCTGGCGACTTGGCGGCTAGTGTTGCGGGGCTGTATGCATACCGGGGAGACCACAGATGGGTGGGGGGAGGGTAGGAGAGTGGTGGAGGGCTCCCCACAGAGGGAAAGGGTTGTGGGGCTAAAACTGTGCTCTAGAGGTGCGGGGAGGAGGGGGGGAATTAGGGTAAAAAGGGCGCGGATGGTTGGAGAGAAAGGTGCGGGAAAAAGGTTTGCGAGGTTTGATTGTGGACGGGCGGAGTGGTGCATGCAGGAAAATTACTTTCGGAAACTACAAAAAAAAAAAAAAACAAACAAACAAACAAACAAACAAACAAACAAAAGAAATACCAATTATTTTCCTTGCCCCCCCCCCTCCCCGCCTCTTCCCCCCCACCAGCTTCATACAGCGGCTGGAGGCGTTGGGCTGCCCGTTGGACGAGTGGGCGTATGCACTCATGGTGGGGGGTGCGCTCAAGGGCGGGCACGTGGACGTGGCTGCATACGCGGTCAGGGAGGTGAGAAGAAGATTGCATGTGTGTAGCTGGTGGTGCTGTGCTCTCATGGTGTAGCTGGTGGTGCTGTGCTCTCATGGTGTAGCTGGTGGTTGCTGTGCTCTCATGGTGTAGCTGGTGGTGCTGTGCTCTCATGGTGTAGCTGGTGGTGCTGTGCTCTCATGGTGTAGCTGGTGGTGCTGTGCTCTCATGGTGTAGCTGGTGGTGCTGTGCTCTCATGGTGTAGCTGGTGGTGCTGTGCTCTCATGGTGTAGCTGGTGGTGCTGTGCTCTCATGGTGTAGCTGGTGGTGCTGTGCTCTCATGGTGTAGCTGGTGGTGCTGTGCTCTCATGGTGTAGCTGGTGGTGCTGTGCTCTCATGGTGTAGCTGGTGGTGCTGTGCTCTCATGGTGTAGCTGGTGGTGCTGTGCTCTCATGGTGTAGCTGGTGGTGCTGTGCTCTCATGGTGTAGCTGGTGCATCGAGTGGGCGTATGCGCTTATGGTGGTAGGTGCGCTCAAAGGTGGACACGTGGACGTGGCTGCATTAGCCATTGCTCTCGTGCTAGTTGGTTTGGTGTGCGCACATAGTGGGGGTTGTGTTCAAGGGCGGGGGCACGTGGACGTGGCTGCACACACCAGAGGGAGGACATTGAGGGTGCGCTGTTCGAGGTGGCCTCTGAGTCGACTCAAAAGTCCTATTGAGGGTGCGCTGTTCGAGGTGGCTTTTGAGTCGACTCAAAAGTCCTATTGAGGGTGCGCTGTTCGAGGTGGTTTTTGAGTCGACTCAAAAGTCCTATTGAGGGTGCGCTGTTCGAGGTGGCTTCTGAGTCGACTCAAAAGTCCTATTGAGGGTGCGCTGTTCGAGGTGGCTTCTGAGTCGACTCAAAAGTCCTATTGAGGGTGCGCTGTTCGAGGTGGCTTTTGAGTCGACTCCAAAGTCCTATTGAGGGTGCGCTGTTCGAGGTGGCTTTTGAGTCGATGGTGCGGAGGGGCATGCAGCCCAACACACAGCAAGTAGCTTTAGTGTTACGGCACCTATAGAGGGGTGATGCGGGAGTGGAAGCCTATCTGGGGCTGTGCGCTGCCCTGGCAGACGTGGGGTTATTGGAGCCTACAATCGTGTTCCTCTACGTTGACCCACATCTCCCTTCTCCCTTGCCTCCCCCTTGTCCGCAGATGGTGAGGAGGGGCATGCAGCCTAATGCGCAACAGCTCGCTTTAGTGTTACGGCGCCTGCAGAGGGGGGATGCGGGAGTGGAAGCCTATCTGGGGCTGTGTGCTGCCCTGGCGGATGTGGGGTTGCTGGAACCCACACTCGTCTTCCTCTATGTCGACCTGCTGCGCCTCTGCATCCTGCGCATGCTGTAGAGGGCAGTGAGCATGCCAGCCAGCACCGGGGCTGCACCAGCACCAGCACCAGGGGCAGTGGTGTGTGTCACAGGGTCAGAGGGGGGATGCGGGAGTGGAAGCCTATCTGGGGCTGTGTGCTGCCCTGGCGGATGTGGGACTGCTGCGCCTCTGCATCCTGCGCATGCTCTGAGGGAGGTGGGGGCTATGTCGCACAGGGCTGTGCTTCTGCTGCTTCTTCCTCACCCTCGTCTTCCTCTACGTTGACCTGCTGCGCCTCTGCATCCTGCGCATGCTATAAGGGATAGTGTGTGTGTGCGCATGACACATGCCACATGGCTCTTCTGCATGCCTCTGCATCCTGCGCATGCTATAAGGGATAGTGTGTGTGTGCGCATGACACATGCCACATGGCTCATCTGCATGCCTCTTCATCCTGCGCATGTTGCAGGGGGCAGCGAGCAGGCACTGCGCAGGGCACAGAGGCATGGAGGCATATCCAGATACTCGTGCTGTGAGGGCTGTGTGCTGCCGTGGCAGATGTGGGGTTATTGGAGCCCACACTCGTGTTTCTACGTGGACCTGCTGCGCCTCTGCATCCTGCGCATGCTCTGAGGGAGGAGGGCAACAGCGTACAGGCCAGGAGCAACAACGGACAGGAGCTGTATGGCATAACTGCTCCTTGAGCCGTTGAGAGTCGTAGAGTGCTCTTGGTCGCTGCATTGCGTTGCAGCATCACAACCACTCCACAGCCGCACTTGTCCTAATTGGACCGTTTCCAAGTAACACTTCATGCCACACATTGTGGCTTGCATAATTCTATGTATTTTCTACTGTATATTTGTTGTACGGTTATCATGCCATACTGCCCCTGCAATATTCGCGGTTGAGTTTTTGTGGCCAAATAATGGTGTGGCACACCCAACCCAAGACCCATGCACGGCAATACACGTGAGGGGAACCACTTGTTACACGTTCCCCTCCCCTCATTCCACTAATGGTGAAAAGGCTTACACACTCTTTCCTAAGAAAATAATATTGTATTGTTAAGAATATCCTAAGAAAACAGCAACCCCTCCCTCCTCCGCCTGGGTCGGAAGAGCAACCCCTGCAGCACTTGGGTGGCAGAGCCTCGGGGTTGGAAATCACTGGTCCAAGACTCGGTTTTTTTAGTCGAGTCAAATGGCAGCACACCACTGGCAGAGTCTCCGGGTCGGAAATCACTGGTCCAAGACTCAGCCCTTAGTGCTGCCTTGCTTCCTACTTTCTCTGCCCCTGCTGCTTTCTCCTCTGTTTCCCCTGCGGTTTTCTCTGCTGCCTTGCCTACTGCCTGCTGCCGGGCACTGCCTTGCTCTGTAGCGCACCCAGCAAGCAGTGGTGGTGGCGGCAGGTGTTTCTGTTCCCGCTGCTGACACTCGTCGGTGCAGCTTGGCCTCTGTAATATCTCAGGGCGGAACTGCGGCAGGTATTTTCTCTTGTGCCTCTCACCCTCCTCCTGTACCTGACCTTCTGCTCTCCCCCATTATCTGCCCTCCCTCCCTCCTGTGCCACCACTCCTTCATCAGTCTGCTCTTGCTGCTGCCAAGGGGCCACCCCACACGACCTCCCTGTTCGTCCTGCCACACTTGCCGCTGGTTAAGTGAATATTACTGTTAAGTGAATTCTCAAAAGTAATATTCACGTTGCTGCTGCCAAGGGGCCACCCCACACGACCTCCCTGTTCGTCCTGCCACACTTGCCGCTGGTTAAGTGAATATTACTGTTAAGTGAATTCTCAAAAGTAATATTCACGTTGCTGCTGCCAAGGGGCCACCCCACACGACCTCCCTGTTCGTCCTGCCACACTTGCCGCTGGTTAAGTGAATATTACTGTTAAGTGAATTCTCAAAAGTAATATTCACGTTGCTGCTGCCAAGGGGCCACCCCACACGACCTCCCTGTTCGTCCTGCCACACTTGCCGCTGGTTAAGTGAATATTACTGTTAAGTGAATTCTCAAAAGTAATATTCACGTTGCTGCTGCCAAGGGGCCACCCCACACGACCTCCCTGTTCGTCCTGCCACACTTGCCGCTGCTGCTGCCGCCCCTTCCGCTGCTACCTTGCCCTCTGCTGCTGCTTCCCCCGTTGCTGCTTCCGCCCCGGCCCCAGCGTGTGAGGACTGAAGACCACCAGCACGTTCATTCTCCTTGCCAACGTGCCGTCGCAGCAGATCCCTGATCTTGCCTGCTCTGCTCACCCCTCGGCCATCCCTGGCACCACCTTGCAAAATTGACTCAATAGTGCTCCTCGCCGCTCCATTGTTCCCCACGCCGCTCTTCCCGACCCCGTCGCTGCTTCTTTCGGCACTAATCCTGTCGCCTTCGCCAATATTTAGCTCCCCTTCACCACTCCTTCTGCTGGTGCTTCCGGTGCTGAAGCTGCCTGTTGCAACGGCCCTAGATGGAGTGGCATTGGAGCATCTGGACCGTTGGATCATCGACCGCAAGACAGGGCCCGGGCCTGATGAGATGCGTGGTGGTGAGGGGGAAGAGAGGGGGAGGAGATATGAGGAGAGAGGTGAGGAAAAGAAAAGTGGGAAGCAAGGAGAGCAGAGAGACAGGCGACAGGAGAGGAGGGGCTAGTGAGGGGCAGGCCAAGCGACACAAACACAAGTAGCAAAATACATGTAACACAGCCACACACGAGAAACACATAGGAATAGCTACCTCAACCCGCACGCAACGGGTGACTCACTTAAACATCACGCTTCAGCAATGAGCCTGCAGACCCCTCTGGCTTGATCAAAGTAACGAGCCTACAAACCCACCTGGCTCATTGCCTCGGGCAATGAGCCTGCAGACCCCCCTGGCCCAATCGAACGAGCTCTGCCTCACCACTCCCAGGATAATCCCTCCTCTTCGCTCCCACATCTAATAGGAGCTATCCCTAGCAGAAGCCCACAGCAATGGGAGGCGACTTACTCAGTGATCGTGCTCGGGCAATGAGCCTGCACACCCTCCTGGCTCGATCAAAAGAGTTCTGCCTCACCACTCCCAGGATCACCCCCCCTCCCCGCTCCCACTCCTCCCCGCCCCCCTCTTCCCGTCCTTCGTCCCTTTCCATCGCCACCTCCTTCTCTTTGTTCGCCTTTTCCCCTGCCTGACCGTCGTTCTGCTCATCCTCCTCCACTCCTCTTCGAGGCTTCCAATCCCCCACCTCCCCCCTCTCCCCTCCCTTCCCTCCCTCATCCCTTTCCATCACCACCTCCCTCTCTTTGCTCGACTCTTCCCCTGCCTGGCCGTCGTCCTGCTCATCCTCCTCCTCCGCGCTTCTTCCTCTCTCCCTCATGCTCCCCGCCTGTTGCTGCTCCTCCTGCTGCTTCTCCTGCTGCTTCTCCTCCCCTTCCTTTTGCTGCTCCTCCTGCTCCTCCTGCTGCTGGTCCCGCGGTTGCTGCAAGTCTATGGAGTGCGAATCGCAATCAACCACGGCAAGCACACCCTCTACGCTCCCTACTCTCTCATCCCCTGCTTTGTCCCCCTCTGCTCCCTCAGCCTCCCGCTCCCCTTCTGCTGACTTTTCCCCTGTGAATTCCCCCTCCGCCACGCCCTCCCCCTCCGCCACGCCTTCCCCCTCCGCCACGCCTTCCCCCTCCGCCACGCCTTCTGCCTCCGCCACGCCTTCCCCCACGGATCCTTCGGCAGCGCTGCACTTGCCTTGTTCGTTCCCCCTTGCGCCTTGCACTGCCCCGGTTGCAACTATTATCCCTGCTTCCGCAACTTCGTTTGTATGCGCAACAGCAACAGAAGCGGTACCACCAGGAACATAAGTAGGAGTAGCAGCATCACAGTTATGATCAGCAGCACCACCTCCGTCAGAAGCAACATCATCACCACCATCAGCAGCACCGCCATCAGCAGCACCACCATCAACAGCACCAGGACCAGCAGTAGCAGCACCAGTAGAAGAAGAAGCCTCAGCAGCAGCACTGGCACTGGCATAACCACCCACAGCAGGCCCATCGTTCCCATCTTCATCACCCTCAGCAGCAGCAGCATCAGCAGCAACACCAGTAGAAGCAGCAGCATCAGCAGCAGCAACAGCAGCACAGGCACTGGCATCCACACCCACACCAGGCCCATCGCTCCCATCACCTTCACCCTCAGAACCACCACCGTCAGCAACAGCACCATCAGCATCATCACCATCATCATCATCAGCAGTTGCAGCAGCACAGGCACTGGCATCCACACCCACACCAGGCCCATCGCTCCCATCACCTTCATCACCCTCACCACCACCACCAGCGGCACCACCGTCTCTACCTCCGAGCATGTTGCTCATCGTCCGCTCCTGCTGCCACTTCACCCCCCGTTCGTTCCATCCCCCCTCTGATACGTCTTCCCTGCAGCCCTCTTTCGTCCTCGATACTGACACCTTCACCTGCTCGTTGTAGCTAACAGGGACGCGGTTCTCGCCGCCTTGTACCGTATCTCGCCCAGTCACATCTCTTTCCACCGCATTTCCCAGTACCTGTTGCAGCTTCTTCTGCTTCTGCTCGATTCCAGTTGCTGCCAGCCCTGACGAACCCCCTGCTGCCACGTGTCGTCCCCCTGCCTCTCTCTGAGTCGGCGCGTTGCCGTCCACCCGTTTTAAGGCGCATCGGTTACGCATCACGTTCGTTAATGCACCTTTCCCACTCTCGTTTCCCGCGCCACCACCCTTCCTTCGACCCACAGCCTGGGAGTCGTGCGAAAGGTCGTGATTCTCGGCTGCTCCCACAGATGGACGATCAGGATTTGATCTCTCCGTTCCATCCGCTTCTCCCACGCTGTCCGCGCGCTCAATTCCTTCCGAAAGCCCCCGTCGCGGGGAGCTTCCGTTCTCCTCCGTTTGCCTTCCGGTGCCCGCACTCGCCGTTACGCGGATGCTCCCTCCCCCGCGGGGGAAGGAGCGGCTTGCGCCAGCTTTGCGCAAATTATCGCTGTGAGGAGAATTTTGGTCCCCCCGGGGGGAACTCCCCTGGGTGAACGGTTTCTTTTTGAAGCCTTCATCCCCGCCACGGGGCTTTTCACTTCCGCGGGCAGTAGTATTGGGTTGGCAGAAGGTTTGCCGCGGGCGCGAACGGGAGGGCGGCAGCGGGAGAGGGGAGTGGTGGCGGGGGAAGCGAGCGCGCTTGGCCGAAAGCGCGTAGTAGGACAGAGGGGGCGGTACGCGCCCACTTGCGCCAGCTCCGCCCGTACCGATTCCGCTTTCGCGGGCATCACTCCCGCCTCCGCCATTTCCCGTTCTGCTTCCGAGGTCACTACTGGTTCCGCTGCCCCCGCACCCACTGCCGATACTCTCGGCGCACGTGTGCAGGCAGTCGCTCAGGTAACGGTCAATCCACTCCTTCCGCGAAGCTTCCTCCTCCTGCCTCGACCTTTCCGCTTGTGGTTCGGCGATCTCCGGGCGGCGTCGCTGATTGGTCGCGGTCACGCGGTGATCGCTGCCCTCGCCGTCGCTGCTGTCGATGTACCCCTTATAAGCTTCCCCGGCGTCAATGTGGGTCTCATGCATACAACCACATAGAAGCATTTGCACCTCGCTGCAAATGCAGCAGGGCTGCGTTTCGGCGTGGCAGCCGTCACTAGCGTTGGTCGGACGACTGGACTCCGGAGCGCGAGTGCGAGCCTGCCGCGAACCTCCCAATCTTCCAGAACCCGCGGCTCCATCGCTCCGTTCACCACGTGCATCGCTCCGTTTGCCACGTGTACTCCCCAGATTTCCACGTGTGTCGCTCCGTTTGCCACGTGTATCGCTCCGTTTGTTACGGCAGCAGCAGTGCCCATTCCTTTGATTCTGCACGGCGGCTGAAGCGAGAAGCTTCCGTAGCTCCTGTATCGATCCCGTCGAAGCCGCTAACGGGGATGGGAGAGAGCGGGAGGGAGAGGAGGAGGAAGAGGATGAGGGGCTGAGTTGGGGTGATGGGGTGAGCGCAGGCGAGAGGGTATCAGGCGAGTCGCAGCCGTCGTCAGATTCGCACAAACTGTCGATACATTTTGAACCTGGAGCGGTTACACGTTCGCAAACTCCCAAGTTGTCGCCGTGACGCGGTGTCACATGCACCTTCGTCGCCTCGTGTAGTCCAGCAAAATTCCATGCGACGTCGTGCGAAACCGAGCGAAATGCAGCACGCGACGCCATGTCGTGGTAGCACGGCGCGATACGATCAATTCACATTCAAATGCAAATGTCGAGTATCTACCATCACTAGTGTGGGGACTCAACCGTTGACTCCTTGAGGAGCGCCTCAAAAGCCAGACTTTGAGGTGTTCCCAAGCGGCAGATATAGTCTAATGCATTCTGGACTTCCAAAATACCACGTGCAGTCGCTAATATGCGGCCTTGGAAGAATGGGAGATGCTGCAGAGAGTTTACTACGCACCAACCTGATAACTTCTAAATGCTTTCTGAATGGAAAATCAAAAGGTGAACGTCGGTAAGATTCGGTGAGAAAGGGTTGCTCGTGTTGCTCTTGCCTGCGCGTGGAACCGCGCGTGGATTCCAATTTCGATGCGCATTGCGCAATTTGGCCAGCACGCGCTGCGACCAGCCGACTCCCAAAGGGCGGAATTTCCAAGAAATGGTCGTTGGCCCCACAGCAGGGGTGCAGCTGAGCCGACCTGGCGGCTGCTGCTGATCGCAGGCGAATGCACCGAACCGACCGACAGATCTGGCGTCGATCTGACACCTGACGAACCGCCTACGGTCAGGTTAAGCGCTTCGCTTACCCCTAAAAGTCCGTTTTGTAGTTTAGAGAACATGTCAACCTTAGTACACATAATAAGCTTACCCTCTGCACACCTAATCACATCGGAGCCTCCACCACGACCACCACTAAGCAACACTAATGGAGACTTGGTGATGCCGCTAGTATATTATAAGGTTTAGGCAGACAAACACTAAAGCATTATGGAGCAATCTTCTGCTTCTTCCTCGTAAGAAACCGGGCACGGGCCTCACTGACCTTGTCTTCTGCCAACACCTTCACACTTTTGTTATCACCACCCTCTAATGACTCACTGACACCTGGCAGACCATCTTCACCAGAAACACCAGCACCACCATCCCTCCCACCAGCAGACCCCCCTTCACGCCCTGCTCCACCAGCCCGTCTCGTCTCATCCTCACCCGCACCTTCCTGGCTGCTTCTCCGTGGCAAGTCATCCTCCCTGCTCGCACTGGGACAAACAGCAACTTCCTCGCCACTCTCCTTCCTATCCCTCCCCTCAGCACCTTCCTGCTCCCCATCCCCACCCACCCTGCCACCGCCTCCCCTCACACCCACTGCAGGCACAGTTCCCTCCAGCCCCCTCTCATGTTCAGCTGACAACACCGAACGTGCCTCCCCCTCCCTGCTCCGCGCTCTCGGCTCTTCCACTGGCAATGCACGCTCCTTGCTCCCTGCTCTCTGCTTCTCCCTGTCCTCCTCTCTCCCTGCCCTCGCCTCCTCCTTCCCTACCGCCCTCCCTGTGGGCTTCTCCGCTGTCTTTGCTTGCGCATCCCGCGCTACTGGGGCCGCCAATTGAGCATCCCGCGCTCGATACAGGTTGCGGTATAGATCTGTCAGGTCCGACCGCTTGGTCACCTGGGGGCGAAGAATGGGGGGAGGCGGAAGAGGAGGAAGAGGGGGAAGAGGGGGAAGAGGGGGAAGAGGGGGAAGAGGGGGAAGAGGGGGAAGAGAAGAAAGAGGGGGGTGGAAGGGGGCAATGAAAAGAGACGAAATGCGATGATGGGTTGAGAGTGCTGAAAGAGGTACAGGTGTATCAGTTCTAATTGCTTGGTCACGTGAGACAATAGGGGAAGCATGACGGGAGAGAGAGGGGCGAAGGGGAAGGAATGGGAAGTGACGGGAGTGTGACAGGGAGAAAAGTGGGCCGACATAATAACTAGGAATAGGCATTGCAATAAGGGGGTTTGGGGCGGAAGAGAAACGGGGCCGGGAAGGGTTAAGCGAGGAATTGGACAGCAGGGTTTTTTTTAGAATACATAGAAAATGCGTGCTACAGGTGTGGGAAGGAGGAGAGAAGTTGAAAACAAGAGTGTGCTTGTTGCAGCGAGAGAGAAGAAAGTTTTCATTGGAAATTGTCCATACAGAGTTACACGAGCAAGAGAAGGGGAGGGGAAAGGGGCAAGGGAGTGGGAGGGGAAAAGGGCAAGGAGGGGGGGAGGGGAAGGGGAAGAGAGGGAGAGCCGAAAATGCTAAGGGAGCGGGACGGGAGAAGGGCAAGGCAATTTGAATGACCACGAACCTGACATACATCGGTATAAAACCACCATCCCCATGCCCATGCCCATGCCCATGCCCATGCCCATGCCCATGCCCATGCCCATGCCCATGCCCATGCCCATGCCCATGCCCATGCCCAAGCCCACTCCCATGCCCGTGCCCATTACATCCCCATGCACATTCCACAAGTGCCAAGCAGCCGTCCCTCCTCACATCGTTAGCGGCCTCCTCAGCCTCCTTGCGCTTCTCCTCCGCCAGCCACCGCTGCCTCTCAGCCAGCTTCTCCCGGTACGCGCGCGTCACAAACCGCTCCTTGCCTGCGTACTCCTCCTCCTCTTTGGCCCTCTCCTTCGCCAGCAGCCGCTCCTGCACCAGCTCCTTCTCCTTCTCCCTCTCCTTTGTCGTTTTTAACAGGTTCGGAATGTAGCGCGCCTGCAAGCAGGAAGAAGCAAACACAGGGGGACACGGCCAACGAAAGGGACGGCACGAGGTCCAGTATAGTTCGCTTCTTTCTCCTTCGCCAGCAGCCGCTCCTGCACCAGCTCCTTCTCCTTCTCCCTCTCCTTGGTCGTTTTCAGCAGGTTCGGAACGTAGCGCGCCTGCAGTCACAGCGAGCCAGAGGTGAATGCAAGGGAATGGCGTAGCGCGTCCATCAATCCGTGTAAGCCTCCCTGAGCACTGAGCACACCGCTGCATCTCAGCGCACCAGGCGGGGAGGAGCTTGCAAGCACACCGATGCATCACGGCGCATCACACCAACTGAACCGCACTGCACCCACCTGTCTCTGCACGGCCTCTTTGGCTCGCGAGGTTCTGGCAGCGTGGATGGTGTCGCACACGGTACCCGTCGTAGTCAAACACAGATGAGGCGCCTCAGAAACAAACAGCCTCGCACCGCGCGGGACCGCACCGCACCGCACTGCACCGAACTGCACCCACCTGTCTCTGCACGGCCTCCTTGGCTCGCGGCGTCCTAGCAGCGTGAATGGTGTCGTACACCCCATCGTAGTCAAAACAGATGAACCGCCTCACAAACAAACCGCCTAGCACCGCGCGGGACCGCACCGCACCGCAAATCACCGCACTGCACCCACCTGTCTCTGGACAGCCTCCTTGGCTCGCGAGGTCCTAGCGGCGTGAATGGTGTCGTACACCCCGTCGTAGTCAAACACTGATGAGGCGCCTCAGAAACAAACCGTGCAGCACCGCACTGCACCCACCCGTATCTGAACAGCTTCTTTGGCTCGCGAGGTCCTAGCGGCGTGGATGGTGTCGTACACCCCATCGTAGTCAAACACAGATGAGGCGCCTCAGAGAAAAACCAACTAGCACCGCACAGGACCGCACCGCACCGCACCGCACTGCACCGAACCCGCACCCACCTGTCTCTGCACGGCCTCCTTGGCTCGCGACGTTCTAGCAGCGTGGATGGTGTCGTACACCCCATCGTAATCAAACACTGACGAGTCCTCCGCCACGGCCTGCTGCTTTTAAAGCGCCTCAGAAACATACCGTGCAGCACCGCACTGCACCGAACTGCACCCACCTGTCTCTGCACGGCCTCCTTGGCTCGCAACGTCCTGGCAGCATGGATGGTGTCGTACACCCCGTCGTAGTCAAACACTGACGGGTCCTCCGCCATCGCCGCCTCGTGCTGCTGCTCCGTCTACAACAACAAGACAGGCGACGTTGGGAGAGGGGATCGGATAAACGAGGGTCGAAAAAGGGGGAAAACGAAAGAAAAAAAGGAAAGTCCGAAACAGTTCGAAGGCGTTAGAAGGCGGACGATAGTGCTGGGGGCTTGATCATAATAAAGGTCCGTCCCTTGTTGAAACTGTGTGTTAAGCCTACTCGACGCGCCGCTGAGCCTCGTCGCGGCCGCCGCCGAGCCTACTCGCCGCGTTGCCGAACCTACTCGCAGACATCGCCGAGCCTACTCGCCGCCGACGTCACCCGCCAGCACCATCACGGCTTTGAAAAGTCCACAACCCGCATATCACGCCGCACCTCACGCTGGCTTCGCTTCTTGAGGTTCTGCCTCGCGATGTCCGCCTCCACGCCGTCTTCGTCGTCGTCGTCGCCGAACAGCGACTGCAGCTTCGCATCTCGCACAGGTGGTAACGGCTTCGCCGCCGTCGCAGGGCGATGGATCTGCGGCTTGCGGCGAATCTCGAGGCCGTACTTCACGGGCTTTGACCGGTCCATGGCGGAAATTATCGAGAGGAAAAATAAGAAACAACAATAATAATCCAGACCCGTTCGTAGCGTTGACTGGCGGATAGTACTAGGGATGGCGCAGAGACTGCGGTGACCACACAGGGATCAATCTCATGACTGGTTACCAGGTTACGTGATAGGTAACCAGTGAAGTCTAAAAATAAACTGTTTGCAAACTACAACAAAATGTAAATAAAGCGATCCATGGTGATTGCTGCTCCGTCTTGTGTACAGCGTTCCAAGTTTCAATATAAATAATAAAATATAAATGAGTCAGCGGCATATCCTGTGTGAAACTCAAAGCTTCCGAATCAGCTGCAGACGGTACCCTATGCAAAGCACAAAGCTTTTGCACAAGTCATTATTGACAAAGTTGTCATGCAAATACTGACAGCTTAAAATTCCGAGGCTCAAGAGGAGTAAACTCAATATTGCAAGTGCATACAGTTTTACACAGCCCATATCTTTTATTATGACATGGGAATTTATACTTTTAGATGTATTTGCTGACAGTTTCTTATGAATCTTTTTCACGCAGAGCTATTTTCAGTTTGGCGCTCCTTCTCCTCCTAGCGAGCCAGCCAATCTAGTGGACAGTCATGGCAGATGGAGATGGGTGCAATGCCAAAGGGGTCGTTACCTGCTGTTAACAAGGATGCACACAGATTGTGTTCTTGGCATGTTAACATCCATTCCTCGTACGTCACAGACTCCATGTCCCTATACCACGTACATGACAGCATGATATATGCGCCTTCACACCAAGTGCATGGCTGCATGATGTGCATGCCTTCACACAAATTGCATGGCTACAAGATATGCATGCCTTTACACTAAATGCATGGCTATATGGTGTGCATGCCTTCACACCGAATGCATGGCTGTTTGATATGCACGCCTTCACACCAAATGCATGGCTACATGATATGCATGTCTTCACACCAAATGCATGGTCACAGAATATGCATGCCTTGAGCACCAGATGCATGATTAGATGTTATGAATGCCCTCACACCAAATGTATAAAAGAAAATCCATGACCACATGATGTGCATGCCTTAAAACCAGATTTATGACTACATTACCGTCATACCCCGGATATAAGCGCCACCCGCGGATAAGCGCCTGGCGCTTTTAATCGGCGCCCGGCGCTTATATCCGGTGCTCGATTATAAGCGCATACCTAGAAGGCTTACAGATTATACCCGCATACCTGTGCCGTACACATTATAACCGCCCCCCGTTGTTTCCAGTGTTTTTATATTTTGAAGACATTTAACAATATTAAAATATACAGCTACACATCTTTTCAACACTATTTTAACATCTACTAGTCAATCTACGTCTAAACTACTACTACCTACAAGCCTCACTCAGGCTTGACCATTTTCTATCTACCCTCGCAGATCATCAGCCGCAGTGGGGTCATCTGGGTCGGCGTCAGAGTCCGACTCAGGCTCTTCCACGTTGTTGCAGAAGAAGCCGTCTGCTGCAATTTCATCATCCATGTCGACCTCCTCGCCCTCGAGCTCATCTCGCCTGTGTTGCAGGCAGAGCTTGTCCTGGGACCCATCCAGGGCGTTGCTGATGCCGCAGGTGAGGAATGCTCGTTGGATGAGCTCCTTGGGCACGGACTTCCAGGCCGCCGAGATCCACTTGAGCGTCAGCTCGACAGGAGGCTTCTTGATGTTGCCTGCCACGCAAATCCAGAAACAAAGTCAGAGGGAGTTACATAACGGGAACACAAACTTACAGGCTGCACATCTCACCTTTCTTCGTCAGGCTGTCGACCCCCTCACGCTCAAACCACTCCTGGTAGAGCTGGCGGACGGCGGCCTTGAAGGCATTGCAGCTTCTCCTGCGACGTGTATTTGTTGCGCTTGTGAGTTGACGGCTTGTGCCTGGGGGAGGGAGGACGGGCATCACGATTATCGCGAGATGGGTGAGGCCTTTTCTTATTCGGAGGAGGAAAAGAGGGAATTGGAAGGTGCTCGGGGAGACCGTCAGCAGCCCAGAACTCCACGTCGTCGTCGGCACCGGTAGCGGATTCGTCCAACGGGCAATCAGCCGGGGCTCCCCACCGTGGCTCCGGTGCGGAGGAAGATCCTTCGCCGCCGCTGCGGTCAGGCTCGGACAGGAAGGCGTCGAACGCCGAGTAGCCAGGGGGGAGGAGAAGCTGCAGAACCCCCTGTCGCGGAACACCAACAGCAGGCGGGTCAGGAGGGGACGGAGGAACGGGAGGAATCGGAGGCGCCGGGGGAGCGGGAGGGGTAGGAGGCGTAGGAGGTGTTGGAGGAATGGGAGGCGCTACTGGTTGTGACTGAGGGACGGGCGCAGGGCGCCTCTGCCATTGAGACCAGTCACTGGTGTCTTGGCGGGTTCTTTCTCTAGCAGCAGGCTGGCGGCGGAACAAGAAATGCGTGCCTGAAAGGCCCGCCATGGCCAAGGCAGGCCAAACGAACGAAAGAAACTGAACCAAACGTTGACAATGAGGGCCGTATGAAGCCCTCGCCCGAGACCCCTTCAGTTTCGCGGCCCGGCTTCCTCTGCGGGGAAAGTGTGGCCACAGCCAAGATTCCCCGCAGAGGAGCTGAGCTGGGCAGCTCTTTGCCTCGGTGGCAGGGTATCTTGCTGTTGATGGGCACGCCGTGGCTGAACCACGACGTGCCCACGATCGCATGCAACCCTGATTGGGCCGCTGTGATGCGAGGTACGTGTGCGCAGGCATGCGCTAGGTTCACGTTCGATGAACCTGGCCTGGCCAACAAGGCGTGGAAGGCGTGTTGCCACGCCTTGTTGGCCGTTTCACGCGCATAGCATGCACAGTTCCGAACGTTCTCGACTCAGGTGAATTCGCCTTTGTGAATGCTTCGATTTGGTATATTTAAAAACAAATTTCATTTTTGTCATAACATAAACGCCGGCGCTTATAAATTTACTATATTATAAGCCCACCCCCTAAAAAAAACACGTTTTATTAGTGCCCCCCATGGGGGTATATCCGGGGTATGACGGTATGTGCATTTCTTTACACCAAATACATGACTACATGATATGCATGGCTTCACACCAAAGGCATGACTGCATGTTTTCGCACCAAATGCATTACTCCATGATATGCGTGCCTTCACACATTGATGACTACATGCCATGCCTGCCCTCACACCATATGTGTGGCTACATGACATGCATGTATTCACACCAAAGGAATTAGTACCAAAGGCAGGAATACATGATATGCATACCGCCACATCAAATGCATCAATCTTTACACCAGTTCCATGACTACACGATAGGCATACCACACCAAAGGCCAGAATACCTAATTTGCCTGCATGTCACACAAACGCATGACTACATCACATGCATGTCTTCAGATCAGACCGAATGCATAATGTCCATGCGTTCACTCAAAAGCATACATGTTATGCATGCGTTTGCCCTCACGCAAAATGCATGATTACATTACAAGCATCCGTTCACAACAAATCCATGAGAACATGGCACACATGTTTTCACATCAAACACATGACATGCACGCCTTTACAGCACACGCATGAAATGCTCGACCACTTCCGTGCATGTCTTCACACCAAATGCATGACACACATCCGCGCATGTCTTCACACCAAATGCATGACACACATCCGCGCATGTCTTCTCACCACATCAGCTGTTCTCTAGAGTCTTCGCTTATGAAGCCCGGGACTGACCTGTTAGAAGGGTTTTTCACGAGGCCTTAAAAAACAAACAAAACATAGATTTAACTTATACACATACAAAGCATAGTCAAATTAAAGGCCTAAGCATGCGCGAGCATGGGAGCTACGTTACTAGGAGCACCTCCTCGCCCTGTACAGCTCCTGCGGCCACAGGGCAATTCTTTGAGGCGCCCGAGAACAACTGTTGGGCCACCTCCTGGGAAGACCTCCTACGGTACTACTCGTGTCACGAGGAAATCCCCCTAAGCATGGGCTGTATAGGGCTTCCACTGACCTCCTCGCCCTGTACAGCTCCTACGCCCACAGGGCAGTTCTTTGAGGCGCCCCAGAACGGCCGGTGGGCCGCCTCTAATGCTACGTCACTGGAAGTGGAAAGTCCGCTGCTCCCTATACACCACGGCCTCTGTGCAGTCAGAGGCAGCTGGATCCACATCGCTGGACTTGTGTGCAGCTGGACTTGTGTGCAGCTGGACTTGTGTGCAGCTGGCACGTGCAGCATTTCTAGATCAACACTTCCTACAACGAGAGCCCCAGGCCTCCTCCCAGCATGGTAAAACTGTCACAGCGAAGCCTTCTGCGCCCTATACAACTTGTTCCGTGTGGCTGGCTTTGCTCGCAGATGCCACAGGCACCTTTTCAAGATCAGCAGTCTCCTGAATCAGCACCCCGGGCTTGGCAATGCCATCTGCCGTCAGGAAAAGGCCATCCAAGCATGCATCTGGAACGGACCCATGCATGCATGGTGAGGCATGCATGCATGAGTCCATGAAACTGTGGCTCATGCTCCCCATGGTCATGCCCATGGGTGTCGACCCTATTCAGTTGGCATGTGTCAGTGCTCGTGCTTGCGCTCGTGCTCGTGCTCGCACTGTTGCCCCCATCCTGAAAGCTAGACTGGCCGCTCGTGCCTGCGCTGGGGCTTGCATCAGCTCTCCTAAGCCCTATACCTTCAGGATCTATTCGTGAGGGCCGTGCACTTACACCCAAGCCATGCAGCGTGGTGTGACCTGTGGGAAACCCAGGAATGAGGTGAGTACGACCGCCACTGTACCTAGACACACTGCGCCCACAATCTGCATACAAAAATCTCCCTGTGTTTGGTGATCCACTGCTGCTTCTGTTGCTTCTGAAGCTTCTCTGACTGCTGCTGCAGCTGCTGCCATGGTTGTTGCTGCTGCAGCTTCTGGTTCGGCTGAAGGTACCGTTGGTGCTGTGGCAAAAGGTCATAAAGCTGCTCCTGCTGATGTCACCACTGCTGCATCGAAT